CACACCATTCCTTGTGGGATCTGCCACTACATGTGGCAGCAAGTTGTCATCAGCGCTATCCAGGAACCTTCTGGACTCTTGGAGCTTCTCCAGGCTGTGTAGCTTCTCCAGCAGACAGCAGGGTTAATAAAGTCCCCCACAAGAACCAGTGCCCATGACTTTGGGGCTGCTTCCAGCTCTCTATGGAAGGCTTCATCCATTTCSTCCTCCTGCTCAGGTGGGCTGTAGCAAACACGCACAACACTGTCACCTGTACTGGCCTGCCCTTGGATCCTAACTCATAAGCTCTTCCTTTTACATAAAATACATCAGTGCTATGTAGCTTTTTCCACATACAAAAACCAGAAGAACATTCAAAATGCATTTCTTCTCGTGACCTTYCCTTAGAGAAGGGAAATCAGCACAGCATACCACCTTTCCTTTGTACATTTACAGAATACAATTCCTTGTTAAACTCACAAACACAGTGCTTTGCCACATACTTAAAAACGGGTTTGTGACACAGTGCTCTGAGATACTCTGTGGTCTTTACTGAGGTTCTTATGATTTTCCTATTCTGAAATTATTGTCCTGTGTTTGTGAAATGTCTGTGGGATCTATACTTCATCTTGAGGAAAWCATTCAGTTATAGGCAATTGCTGTTCCAGAAGAGAGATGTTCTGGCAGCAGGAAATGTTCTGGGTTGTTTTTATTTTACTGAAACCAGCTTACTCAGAACAACCTATTCTGGTATTCCATACAAAGGGAACAACTTGCTGATTTCAGCTAATGACCGTTTTATTCCCCTTTGCTGCTATCAAAATTAAGATTAAAAATAAATTCACATTGTCTAAGAATGCTAATTTAAAGAAACATTTCTTTCTCTTATTCCCTGTAATTTAATGCTGCTAATGAAATAGAGGGCAGAACATTGAGCTAGTTAASAGAATAAATATTAAATAGTTAAGGCAAAAATGGAGAGCATGACTGTATGTGTTATAGTGAGGGAATTACAGCCAAGATTGTGTTTAAAGCTACAACAGGGTCTCCTCTTGAAGAGCAACCTGATGAACACAAAGCAAGAGAAAAACTACTACAACYTTTTAATATTAAGTGTTTGTTTTTTATCCAGACACTATCAGCCTTCACACGCCATGGATTTGTGGAGCGGGTAGGCAAAGTGTGCAGCCTCTAGGAAATGAGAGGTTGTCACCAATGACACCCTTACTTGGCCACATGCCTTTACCACAGCTGAATTCCACACTGCCCCTTTAATTTCCATACCAGTTCATACATACTGGAAGCAAGGTCTCAGAAAAAAAGCAAATACCAACTCCAGTGAATGCAAGTCCAAGTAATAACGAAAGAGTGACCTGTGTGCCACTTGTGTAACACTCCAAAATGCATATCAGTAATGTTCTCAGGTGACCCTGTAAATGGAATTTAGGAATAGCAGTATTTAATGAAGAAGCAACTTTTAAATGTTTTGGAAGAGTGCCAGGAAAGATCTGAGAAAATATTCCTCTGTTATCCATCTAGATATTCTTTGTACATGTACCACAATAGATAGTAAGAGATTAAACAGTCAAAACATAAAATAACATAATGGTATAAGTTGACACTAGCAGCATATCAAGACATTTACCTTTAAAAATACAGTATTTCTAAATCCTAGGTTGCAGTTCAGCAAATAACTGTAAAGTCCTGAATGTAAAAAACAGAATACTGTTTTTGTCTAAGTTTTCATTAACATCCCGTAAKGACAGCACCTTTTGTTGAGATCAACAGGAGTTAGTCATCCAGTACATCCTGGGACAGGATCCAGATAGCAGCTATTAAAAAGTCATAGACATAAATTCTAAAATGGAAATAGAAGGCTATCAAAATCTGTATAAATCAAAAGCTATAAATTCCAAATACTGTACTAATTGCATTGTATAAATTTAATAATGTAAGGAAAAAGAACACAAAGAAAGTAGTAGTCAGCATGTTTACAAATTAAATTATTTAATTTTATTTGGAACAATGTGAAAAATTGTACAGATTCTTTATTTGATGGAATTTGTAAGCTTGTTAGTTCAGGAAAAGTATAAACATTTTGCTCTTCAGCAAAACATTATTCTGTTGGGAACAATGACCAATTTCCCTTCCAAGACTAATCAAAAAAGTTTGAGCAACAAGTATTTCTTTCAATCAGGTTTGGCCAATTTACATCTGGTGCATTTACAAGCCTGTGAATTACTAATGCAGCCTTCTCAAAAATCTTGGATCTCTGGAGAAGCTCCAAAGGACTGGAAAAAAMCACAGACTGTTTGGACTTTGTTGAAAAGAAAATTGGGTAATTTAGGAACTTTAGGCCTGCCAACCTGACAATCAGTCCTTAGCCATCCATTCATGCAGTTGAAAATTACCTATCCAGTGTAATAACTAGGGGAAATGATGCTGAACATCCATGTCATGGTGATGTCCATCAACACTGATGTGCAGAAAATAGATCCACCTTTACTGGGCTTTGTTCTTTAGTTGTTAGAAGTTAAACTGTGGCATAATGTTTAATAAGAAAACATCTAATGCACTCCCATGCATTTTGAGTGATAACTGATACCTGGGACAGTATTCCAAGGACATAATATAGGTCGGCACAGTCATGGTTTGCTGAACATAAACTCCAGTGACACTGAAATCCCTGGGCCTGCTAATGCAAACCTTGGACAAATGAATGGAAAAATACAGAGGATAGGACAATGTTAATTTGCTTTGGTGCATTCCCTTATTAGAATGAGAAGCAGCTGAAATCGGAAGCTCAAAAGATATTGATAAATTGAAGGGGATTTATCAAAGAGACAGGAGTTGCTTAAAGGAGTGACAGACCACAGAAGCTTACTCTGTTTTAGATATCAGGTTCCTTCTCCTGGCACTAATAACTCTGTTATTCTGTGAGCCTGTTCAGGGAGCTGATCCAGCTGAAAGCAGGCCTGCCTTTTCCTGGTTCCTTGTTAAAGGTTTCCATCTGCACCAGGTCCCTGAACCAGACCACCCCATGGCCACATCAGCAGTGCCAACACAAAGCTGGTTACAGGGACAAGARGCAGGGAACTGGAGGAAACAGCAGGACAGTTCATCCCCAGGTCTAGACCAAWGGAACTGCTTCTGTGCATATCCCCCTGCAGAACGCTCTCTACAGCCTCATGGTGTCAGTGAAGAGGACATTGCTGACCCTTCTGGSTGAAAGCCAAAGCTGGTGACATTCACAGCCCAACAATTACCCAGGCACTGTGATGTCTTCTTTTGCACAAGCAGTGGCATCCTTAAAGTTAGATGACAGACTAAGAAATTTCACTTGCACAATTTCAAGACTGTTCAGGGAAGCCCTACAGTGTATGCTATGTTGAACAGCAGACCATGTCACCTGGACATTTCTTCTGTCCTCAAACCCTATGAGGTGATATAAAAAAAACCTGATAATTGTCAAGATGAAACTTTTCTCCTAGAAAGATAAACACTAGTGCCTTTGAATACATATACCCTTAATCTAACGTTTTCTAAAGAAATTGGACTGTTTGGTCCAGTTACCTGCAGGTGAGTGCTCTTCAGCCTCTAGCATGATACAAAAAAGGCCGAGAGGACAAACATGGTAGTGCTCCAGCAAAACTAATAAAGTTATAATTCTCACCTATAATAGAAAAGGTGCCTTTACCCAGTGTTATTATGGTTCACCCAGCACTTGTCATGGYTTATTTAGACCAGAAAATTTTAAACAACTCGAAAACTCTTTTTAAATGAGTTGTCTTTATTGTCCCTTTAGCACCAYGCCAGATAAACTATTAGACAGACTACTGTAAACAACTAAATCTTTCCCATATTCCAACCATACCTTGTGACAGCAGATAAAAGCGCAGACTGTGAAAACAAACCCTAGAAATAAATGGGTCAGAAGCCTGGTGGAGAAGAAGTGCCAATTTGTGGCTGTTGGGCTGCACGGAGCGTGCCAGAATACAAATGCTGCCCCTCCATTCAGACGAGGCACCAGCAGCAGCACCGCGCTGGCTCAGGGAACTGCGCATCCTTGGTCAAGGCCAGGAAGGAAAAAAAGCAAAAGGGGCAGCTGTGGGCAGGGCCAGTGGGCAACCCTGGGGCCTGGGATTTAGTTGCCCATCCAGCTTGGTTCTGACTGCACAAGAGACCACAGCAGGAAGGGATAGCTATGGAAAAACTGTGAATCTTTGCAAGACCTCCTGTTGCTTGCAGGTCTCAGAAATCTTCACGTCTTGAGCCGACAGCCATAGATGTGCAAGTGAATTTTGTAAGGTGGGAAAAATAAGGAGTATTTCTACAAGACTATAAATTTTGGGGGAAAGTGCATCACTTGTATCCCTTACAAAAAAAAAAAAAAAAGTGTAATTCCTGATAGTCTTCGCCCTTTTAAAGGGAAGAAACTTTACCTTCTAATAATCACAGGTTTGCTGCAATATGTGAACAGAGATGGTAACTAGGCTGTTTGGAAAATATGAGTCAAAAACAAACTACACCCAAACCTATGGAAGTCTACATAGTTGCAAATATATGCTTTTCTAAAGGACCACTTGTTAAGGGCGGGTGTGACACTAAAGTTCAGCCAGTTCCAGGAAAACAGACAAAATTGAGGTGGCAACATTGTAAGTTATTTCTGTTATCTCTGGAACTAAAAAGAAAGGCTGCTCTCATCACACCAGCACTGCATCCCCTCCTCAAGAATGTGGTAGAGGGCTGGAGGAAAGTGGTGTTCCTTTATTTTACCTTTTGCAAACATTAAAAAAAAATAGCAGTTATTCCATAATAAATTAACGAAGGTTCTGACTTCGCCTCAAAATTACAAACATAAATCACATGCTCTTTATGAAAGGAGCTGGGTTTTTTTCATCTCAATCTAGATATTCTTCAGCTGAACTTCAGTGAATTAACACTTTMGTTCTAGGTTGAGAAAATAGTTAAGTTGCAAAAGCCAAGCCAGASGCTCAATAGAACTGGGCAGCCTAATCCTAGTGATTCCATGACTCCATTATTCCTATATGCTTCCATGTGAACTTCCCTACCTCTCACATTATGCTGAAATAAAAAGAATGTTAACCCAAAGCAAGGTGTGCTGCTAACATTGTCATTTCCCAGCAGCTAAACACTGACCTTTTTTGAAGGGGAAAACCAAAAGAATTTCTTTCATCCAGATGATACCAAATAAAACCTAGAACAAGCAAATATTATCAAGGACTTTATCTTTCCAGGGCAGGTTGKGTTTGCAGGATGGGAGTAATGTGTGAGTGTATTACTTGGATTACACAGAAAAACATCTTTGATTTCTTGTGATACCAAGAATTTTTTCCCAAATTGCATATAGCTGTTCCCACTTTGTGCAACAATTCCCAGTYTTCATTTCCCTACAAGGACTTAGACCTGCTTCAAATCCCTGACTCAYTGTTGCCAGCAACTTTGACAGAAGTATCAAATGCTCCATAGCGTGTGCTAAAAAACTTGTAGAGCAAGAAATGTGTAACAGAGTTTAATTTTATTCCAGTTTGAACACAGTAGAGAGTAGAATGGGGGGAAAAAAGTGATAATTTGAACAACTATGGTTTTGACTGTCACAGCAGTTGTGCTGTGTATTTCCAACAGACTACTTGCAATGGCAGCATTACTACTTCAGCAGTCTACAGAAGAGTTTTGTTTAGCAGCAGGGGAAAAACACATGCAGCTCATTTTAATGAAAAACAAAATTAGCATTCGGTTTCATAAAACTAACTGCTAGTACTTTCTAAATAAATAACACATTAGCACTAATATTTCATTAAAAATGATACAGAAGATTTCCTACAATACAGGGAAAAAAAAAGAAAAAAGAAAATCAGCAAAAACCAACCAAACCCTGAGGCAAATCTAGTCTTCAGAAAATATTTTCCAGCACATTTTGATTCATACTTGGAAATGCTGCAGATATCAGGAGTCTGTAAGTATTTTTAAGACATTCTAGCATACCCATTTGTTTGACTAACTGGCCAGTGATGCAAAAGTAAGAGTGACTGCCCTCCTCCTCATTCTGTAGGGATTTAGTACACTTGGACTATACAACCAAGGCCAGGCATTAATCACAGTATTCTGTTCACCTTGTTTCCTACTGAAATAAGGCTCATACATTGTCCACTTGGGTAGACATCTGTCCTTAACATTTGACTTGATGGATAATTTCAAACACAATCAAAAGAACGGAAAAAAAAGGAAAAACCTCACAGCTGTTACATTCTTACAAATTCTATGAATATTGATGGCTGGGTAAAAGAAAGGAAGAAGAAAATCTGTATTTCACTGAGGCAGAAAGCTAAAATTCAGCCATAACCTTCARCATAGCAGAAGTTGGCTTTGTCAAGGAATGTGCCATCTTTTTCAAGCAGAAATGGAATAAAATGGGTGGGGATGGGCAGAAAAGGCAACACAAATAAAATGAGACCTAAAGCTTCAGAAAGGCAGACTCAAAGTTTTGTYGCTCATAGAATGACCTCCTTTCTTACATTATTGCATGATAACAAAGCTCTCAAATCAAGGTGCCCAATGAAACAGTTGCTAAAACTTCCTTCAGCTGGTTCCTCTGCCTTATAATCATGTTACCCAAGAAAGAACTATTAAATGTACAGGCACTTCACACATGTGAATTATACTGACAACTAACAAATTTTCTATGAAATTGACCACAGGTTTAGAAGTTTCCTCGAGATCACAGGGTAGCTAATGAGAATTTCTAGATTCAATTCTCTCAGATCATGTATTACCTTAGGTATTAATGTTTCTTTTAATTATGAGCAGTGTATCCCACATTATTATCCTCTGGCTTCATAAAAAGCATCAACAKTTGACTTCAACAATTACTCAGTGCTATTCAAATTAAGCTGTTCAATCATTATTTCYTCCTGAGGACTGACTGACCAGCACTACAAAAATTCTCTGTGATGCTCAAAAGGAAATTATGCAGTGAGCATTATATATTTCTGTTTATCTTGCCATGGGTGTTACTAGAGATCCCTATACATRTAAATTTTTTTGCTCTGTGTTTCTGCCTTATGTATTAGTTTGGACTCTTTGCTGAAGTTATGAATATGATACTGTGGAAGAGCAAAGCCAACAACATCTGCAGAGAATAAAAAGGACAGCATAAACCACACAACTGAGTTAATATTTAAAGAACAAAAATTTAATTTGGTATGTAACTTTTTCCTAGGAGGATCTTTATTTTCAATRCTATACATGTGAATATAAGAATGAATAAGTGGCTCATTATCTACATGTATAAAAATATAAACATCCTATCAAACATATGCAAAGTCACCTTTCATGATATGCATCACTGAAAAGACTTATGCCTTAATTTCTAATTAAAAAAAAAAAAAAAAAGACTGCCTTTGTGGGGTTTTAATAGCACTTGTAAATGCTACTGCATTCATCATCACATGAACTATGAACGACAGCTACAAAATGTATACAGGACTCCAGTATTGTGCCTTTATGTTTTTGTATGTTTTCATGTCAACAAGCCAGCAGAGCCATTGTGTTTCTCCATTCTTCGAGCTCTCAATAGAACAGACCAGCAAAACTCAGTGACTTTGCCTTGGGCATTTTTCCTTTTAAAAACTTTACTGCCATTACTAACTAATGGTTCTGAAAAATATCATCTTCTGTGGCAAACCATCAAATAACTATTATATTTATGACACCATCATTTTAAGCCTAGTGACAATACTGATAATGAGTTTTCGGTAAATTAAAGGCCCATTTCTTAACACTAATAATGCTAAAAAGTTTTTTAGCACAAAGGCTAAAAAAATCATCTGTTTTTTTACATACATTTTTACATAAAAAATGAGAATTACTGGGTTGTTTGGCAGGAAAGGGATAGGCAACCATTAATCAAAACACAGGCAATCTTCGTTTTAGAGATGCATTCAGCCACCTGGAAGTTTAGTTACGATTCACATTCAAGCAAATATGCCATCAATTTCAGTTCTACAAGCTGATGATACTTGTATTCAGGCTTTCCACAGAAACAGTTATAAGAAACCAGTAAAACATTACCATGTTATGTACATAACATAATGTGAAAATGCTCAGCTAGCTAGATATATTATGAAATCCTGTAGCACTAAAATGATTAAAAAACTAAATGATTCATGTAAAATGTTTATATACTATATATATATGTACATTAAATCACAACGCCAATTTAAAACTGCCCCTATTCATAGCTCCTATGATGGATTTAGTAAGCTACCAGATTCTTAAAAAAAGAAAGCTATCTAGAGTGAATTTGAACACTTTACCGAAAACTGATTTTATACAAAATATTAAAAAACTTACTTCAGTTACTTAACACAAAATAGAAAAAGACGGTTTTTATTTTTGAGAAGGGCATTGTAAAGACCTAGTAGTTGTGATTAATGTCTTTTCACTTGTGGTATAAGTTAAGCACAAAGACGTCATCTCAGAGTAAGGCATAGGACAAACAGACTCCATTCCATCTTCAGGTGTATTGGCCTCTCACTGTATCTTATTGCTCATCTAATTTGGCAGGTTTACATTTCTATTCTCTTAAAAATACCCCAKAATACAACTATCTACAAATGGACAGCATCCAGTGCTTTCATACTTCTTCAATTTAATCACATTGATAAACAACCTTGATAATATTAAAATAAAAASCCATGGTGATGCGATTTATTTTCAGTTTTATGCATTTGTGCATGCACTTAATAAAAGACCAAGTGGTGAACAGAGACTGAGCACTGAAACACAATAGAAATGGAGCTATAGCTCTTTTCAAAGGAATTAAGGTTTTTAAAAAAACCCTGTGAAATTCTTTGGTTAGAATACAAGTGCTAGCAGTGTTTCTAAATTTGGAGTTAGAATAAGCTAGAACTAGAATTATTATTCAAGAGTTCAAAAAGCATAACTTCAAGCTTTTAATATGTACCGCTAAATTCTTCAACACTTCAGATACATTTAGGATATTTTTCTGTGATGGCCTGAATGGGTTATACACATTCTTAAATCAAGTTTAGGTTTTTAAAGGAAAGTGCTTTTATATTCCAGACTTCAAGAAATTATTAGAAAGAGCTGCTCAATCTTCCCTACTGTCAAACCTGCAGCTCGGATCATCTGTTCCAAAGCAGACTCTGCCTCCTCTGGGAAAGACTGTTAGACAGCAGTAACAAAATACAGCTCAGAAGGGGTAATTTCCCCTGAAGAAAGCTGGCATCATTCCTGTTTTTCTAAGGACAGGGCTCAATCCTTTCTAAGAAGCACTGAATTTGTCTAGGAAGATGTACACAGCTCTTAGCAGCGTCAGTGCCCAGATAATACTGCTATGAAAACTAAGAAAAAGGTTCTTTAAAAAGTGGCTTTGCCATCAGTTCTGTTGGCTTCAGAGTTTTACAGCACTAACATGACAAAAAGTAACAAGGGTGCTCTTGATGACATTTATAATGTACATCTGCACTAATTCAAGRTATGTGATTTCAGCTTCCCAGCACACAGACCCTACCATGACCCAGGCAAGCCTGGTTTAACCTCACTCCCATTGTTTTGAGGGTGTTTAAGGAAATAAGCATTGAGATTTCTGTCCATCTTATAGACAGGAACTTCAAAAGAATCATAAGGACTACAGACCACCCATGGAAGTTACAATTCATAAGCACTTTAATTTTTTTAAGTGTCACTGTTTTACCTCTCAAGGGAATAAACACATGTCTCTGAGGACACTTTGTAGTTGAAATGGTTGGTTATCCAGCAAACCTGTCCTTTCACATTAKCCTCACATGCTCGCTGTGCAGGCCCTGGTCCAGTTTAACAGCTTGGAGAGAGGAGTTCAGAGATGTGGGGAGCAAAGAGGGGAGATGGAAGCAACCAGTCATGAAGGGCCACATGCATACCTCCTGCAAAATTACTCATCTCAACAGATAAAGCACTGAGCCAGCACAAACCCATCACTGTCAGGCTTCCCTTCTATGTGACAGTCCTTCACAGATAGGCATCACTTTGATGGGGGTGGAGAGAGGATTAAAAATGGACCATTTGGGGTCTGCCCATCAAGGCAAACTCTGTCACAAGGGTATTGGGATGSGAAAAGACAGCCATTTGTCATGCCATCCTCAAGAAAACTTGCTCAAAGCAACTTTAAAGTTTCTCAGCCCCTTACTGGACGGTTTTTAAAATGCCTCACCCTGACAAAGCTACACCTCAGCTCTGTGTGTGGAGAGGGACAAGGACTGGGTGCACATGCACGCTTTCGCGGGACAGGCATTTGTCTGCTCCCAATACTTCTCTCCTTCCTCGCTACCAACACAGCTACTGGGAGATGTGGGAGGGAGGGTGAAGGTGGGAGCCGGTGGCTGACCAGGGACGTGGTGGCCAAGCAGGGACACGGCAGCCGAGGCACAACACAGTGAGCTCCTGCCCCCGGGGTCCGTCAGCAGGTGCCGCAAGAGGGGTGGGGGCTGCGCCGGGGCTGGCCCGCCTGGTGCGTGCAGGCAGACCCCGGGATGGGAAAAGCACGGGGGGACACAGCCCCCCTCCACATCCTCCTTCCTTCAGGATGGGAGGGGACCTTGAGTGCCAGGGTGTGCAGGGGCGGCCGTCTTGTCCCCACGCCACGGGCCGGGCGGATGCTCAGTCCCGGCAGAAAACATACTCGGTGTAGCTGGTCCAGATCTTGTCATCGGCGGGACCGCCCTGCTCGGGGCCGAAGGCGCAGGTGCCGGTGGAGGAGCAGGCGGCCATGCGGAAGCCGGCCTCGGAGAGGCGGTCGAAGGCTTGCTCGAGGAAGTTGAACTTGAGGTAGTAGCGGGCAGTGTAGCGCTCGGGAGGGCGGTCGGGGTCGCGGCTCTCGTTCAGGGTCTCCCCGAAGACCTCCTTGGCCAGGGCCGTCTTGCCGCAGACGGTGATGCGGGCCACCCGCCGGAACTTGGCGTCAGCCTGCGCCTCCCGCCCGATGGTGTAGGAGCCCCGGTAGCCGATGGTGATGTAGCCCGAGCGCCGCCCGCCCGCCCCGTCCAGCGACTGCGAGGGCGTGAGCAGCGGCCCGCCCGAGGGGCTGCGGCTGGCGGTGGGCGACGGGGCGGAYGCCACGGCCCCGCCACCTCCTTCCAGCGGCTCGGCCTCCAGGTAGCCGAGCAGCGGCGGCGGCGGCTCCTCGGCGCAGATGGAGCCGTCGCGGTGCAGGACGGCGGGGCGGGCGGCGACGGCCCGAGTCTGAGCCAGGCGCCGAGCCAGGTCGGGCAGCTGGAAGTACTCAGCCTCCCGCTGGAGGCGGCTGCGCTCGGGGAAGTGCTCGGGCAGCACCAGCTGCAGGTCCCGCAGGTAGTCCAGGATGTAGCGGAAGAGAAAGCCGTCGCGGTCGAGGAAGAAGCGGCCCTTGCTGTCCCGGGGCAGYTCGCTGGGCTGCTGCTGCGAGAACATGCGCCAGAGCAGCGAGTCGCGCACCGAGACCACGGTGCAGCGCCGCGTCACGTACACCTGCCCGCCCACGTTCAGCTCCACGATCTCCGGGAAGGACGACCAGCCGCCCGTCGCCGCTGCCGCCGCCCCGCTGCCCGGCGCCCCGCTGCCCGCCGCGGGCGACACGCCGCCGCCGTTGGGCAGCCCGCGGGCGCTGTCCGCCAGGGCCATACCGGAGCGAGCCCGCCGGAGCCCACGCCCTTCGTCCTCCTCTTCCTCCGGCCGCCTGGGCTACGGCGGGGCCAGGAGCCTCCTCCCGCCCCGTCTGGCGCCGGAGCCGCGCTGCCAATGCGCTCCCCGCCGCCGCTGCTCCGCCCGCTGCCGGACGAGCTGCTCCGTCGGGCTGCGAACAGAGAGCCCCGGCGGTGGCGGCAGGGCCGTGTTTATGTAGCGCGGCCGCACCTCGCGGGAGGCGTGGGAGGCTGGCGGGAGGCAGAGCCGAGCGCACGGGGAGGGGAAGGGGACGGCCCTGCACTGACGCAGGGTCCCCCGTCGTCGTCCGTCCCCCCCCGCCCCGGTCCTCCTTCCCCGGCTGCGGTGGGGACCCTCTCCCCGCCCGGTCCGCGCTCGCCGGGCTCCCCTCGCCGTGACCGAGCACCGCGGTGTGCGTCCAGCGAGGATAAAACCTTGGGGGTCCCGCCTTCCCCCTGCCTCCCCCAGCCCCCTGAGCGGGGCTTCGGCTCGCTCCTCGGCTTCTCCGAAACGTCTCGTCTTTTCGCAGGCGAGAAAAGCCGCCTGTTTGCCCCGACGAGCTGCAGCGGGCCAGCAGCGGCGGGACTCCTGCTCCGCCGAAGGAGCTGTGCTGTGCCCCTGCTAATCTTCTTAAGGTTTGTCCCAACCCTCGCCAAGTGAGAASGCCGGCGAGTTAACCGTGTCCCCTCCCTCCTGTCGCTTTTGCAGGAGAAAACACGAGCGTGTGGTGCTACCCCGCTCTCTCGGGCTTGTAAGATATCCCCATCATTACGCAGGTTTTTAACTCCCTGAAGGGCTCCGTGAAACCCCCCGGCGATCCTCATTCCCGGAGGGAGACTCGGCGGGTCGCACCGTCGAGTGGCAGCGAGAGCGCCCTCCGAGGGGTGCCCMGCCGGCCGGGGGAAGACCCTGGTGGCGACGGACACCCCGGAGCGCATGGGGTCCCCTCCAGCTGCCTGGCAAGCGGCACTTCACCGTGAGAGCCAAGCTCCTCCTGGCTGCGTGCATCTTTGTGTATTTAGGTGCCCTTACAGCTCAGATTTAATTAGGATTAATTAGGTACATCGGGATCTGCGTGACACATAAGCACCTGTTTAACATGCGTTGGTAGAAAGCATTTAAGTTATGTTTCAGGCTTTTGCTTGAATTTAATCTACGCTTCTGTGTCTCTTTGCAAGCAGCAGTAAAAAGCTGCTGCCTTGATGTATTCAGTTGCTCTCCCGTGGGAGTTCAAGTGTGCTTTCTTCCTCGAGAGAACAGCTCAAAGGACAGGAAAGTCTGAGGAGTTTGAAGACAATGGTCGATGCTTTCTTTCCGTAGAGGTGAACAAAGCCCTTTCTGGACTACCCTGCTGCAAGTGCTCCACTGCAGTGGTCTGCAAAGTAGAAGTCAAAAGGTGCAGAGACAGGGGGTAGAAGTACTTCAGAAACTGAAAAACGGGAAAGGAAGGAAAGGCAAGTTAGTTCTCAAGAAGCAAGATAAGTTGACCTAAGAGAAGAGGAAGAAGAGGGGAAGTTGAGAAACAGAAGTTTTGAAAGGGAATTGATAATGAAGAAAAGTGATGTGTTGAGGGAGAGCTGACAGGGAGCTACTGTGGTCTAAGGAAGGAGACGGGGTGGTCTGGGGAGAGTGGACACTTGGAATGTACAGGAGTTTCATCTGAACAGGACTAAGAGTATGGTAACTAAGATGCAGACCATCACTTTTTCCATGGTGGAAAGCCTATTGCCAGGACTTTGACCACCAAGTACTTTTATTTGTGGGAGTGAAATTGCAAAGTAGGTTAATCTGATGTTCTGCTGACATTTTGTTACAAGAGCTTGTTTCTCTTTG